GGAGAGTAGGGCCAGAGGCAAAAGAGGGGGAACCAACAGATATTTCTACATCCCCTGATTCTATATCCCCTTCTATCCTCCATCCAGGAGCAAGCAAAGCAAAAGGCATCAAGGGCACATTCTAGCCAGCTGAAACAGTCAAGGAGGGTGCAAAGTAGGGCAGGGAAGGGGTGTGACTGAGGAGGCAGCCACAGCACCCTCCCTCTCCCTCTTGGTCAGTCCAAGGGTGGGGTGGGCACAGGTGTTCCTTTGCCAACCATAAGGAAAAGGAGGCACCACCGATCTCATCCCTGGCTTGGGTGTGGCTTCCCTCCCTGTGGCTCCAGCCTCAATGAGGGAGCCTATAATGAGGGCACTTGGTTTTACACCCCCTCAAAAAAATGTGCCCCTGCAGCCACACACACACACACACCATGCTATGCCACTGCCATCAAGGATCACTTTTAAAAAAATCTCAATTATTTATAGAAATGTTTATAGGATAACAAAAACACACCTTTAAAAAAGGCTTTGCTCAAGTTTTGCTGCTAGAAACAGTGCTTTTCCTGAAATAAATTCAGGAGGGGGGTGTATATGTCATTTGGAGACATTTCCTAGAGCGAGATGAAAAAGATAGCAACTGACAACAGTGCTACGAGGAATTTGCACCGAAGAAGTGTGGTGGTGACACAGTTCTTGACATAATGAGGCCAAATGCCTTATCTGGCTCTTCTGCAAGAATCCCGTATCATTCCCTTCTAGAGTCTGATCAGGAGTGACTAGACATTACAGTGGTACCTTGGTTGTCGAACGGCTTGGCTACCAAACAAATTGGTTCCTGAACACCGCAAACCCGGAAGTAAGTGTTCGGTTTGCGAATGTTTTTTGGAAGCCGAACTTTCGACACGGCTTCCGATTGAGTGCAGGAAGCTCCTGCAGCCAATTGGAAGCTGTGCCTTGGTTTTCGAACTGTTCTGGGAGTCAAACGGAATGAATTCAGTTCGACAACCAAGGTACCACTGTACTTGTTTGACTTCATACAAGTCAAGGTGTCATCATCTGGACCCACCCTTGCTTTACTGGCCTGCTAATAGATCCATCCATCCACCTTGTCCCTTCTGTTATGTTTTGCTCTGCAACACCATTCTTTTATCCAGCTCAAGACCATGCAGGGCAGTTCCTACATAAGCAACTTTCCATGTTTTCAAAGTGTTTCTCAACCATAACTTTGGCTTTAGCGCTATGCTCCTTCAAAGCTTCTTTTTAATTAGGGGAGAGAGATCTGGAAGGAGAGGGTGTGATGGGGAAAGACATGGGACTGTTCGTTCCTTTTCATTAAAAAACGGCAGAGCAATAAGGAAGTAGGAGGAAAGGTCTGCACTAATACCCAAAATATTTTCTTAAGTACATGCAGATGAAACAGTAGATCAGTGGGTTGGCAAACATTCTGGACCCATGAGCAGATTTGCAAACCAGAGAAACTGTTGTGGGCACCACAGTACACAACTCAACCAAGCAGACGTCACAACCCATTCTAGTGATTGCAGCAGAATACTTATTTTGAGCTTACTTTCAGCGGCAGCGGAGAGGGAAGGAACCCTGGGGGTGCCAGGGGACACCTCTTTGGAGTAAGCACACCTACAGAATGTACATGGGTAACCCTCTGAAGTAGATTAACTGCTTAATAACTCCTATTGCTCTTTCTTTCTGTGCATTAAAAATCTTCAGCAGTATATTAGCAGTTGTCAAGGCAGGGGGGGGGAGGAGAAAAGAAAGAAGATGGCATTGCTACAACCAGAAAAATATTACTTATTGATTGCATCAGAATGCTTTCCTTTGTCCAAAGAACTGATGTAAAGGTGCATAGGCTGTCCCCATTTTACCCTCACAACAATCCTGTGAGCTAGGATTAGTCTGGGAGAAAGTGCCTTGTTCAAGGCAAATAGGTAAAAATATTGCTAGGTAGGGATTTTGAATAGTTAGGACTCCGCTAGATTGGTAAAGAAAAAGTGTTCTATATGCACTGTATATGCAGTATAACACTATGACACCAGATGGTGCTATGGAGTCCTGTCTTTCCCTACCAGATTTCCCTGTATGAGTTTGCAACGCGTTTAACTGAATCGCTTCTTTGATGTGTCTAGATCCAGCCCAAGTCTTCAGCCAATATTCTATTCACTGAACATGTGGATCTGTTTTATACCATGTTAAGACATTGTTCCATGTGGCCTAGTAAGATCTACTCTGACCAGCAGTTCTCCAGCAACCCAGGCATAGGTCTTTCCTATCATCTCGTACAGCTGAGTCACCAGGAATTGACTCAGGACTTCCTACATTCAATACATAAGCAATGAATGAGCTATGTCTCCAATTTCAGTCCTTGTACAGTACATAGAAGGGAGATACTCAACCAAACACACAGATGAAAAATCCCTCTGAAGTGCAAAGCCAATCAGGGCACATGCTACCTCAGCAAGGATCATGCTACTCTGCCTGGTTGCTAAGCAACACCTCCACTCATCCCACTCTTGGCTGATTAACTTTAACGCTAACATAGTTAACTCTTACATTTCACACAAAACGATCTCTGCTGTTGCACTTCCAACAGCTGGAACACAACTCCCATCAACCCCCGCCAGCATGTCTGAGGGTTAAAGGGTGATGGGATTTGTACTACAGCAACATCTGGAAGGTTACGAGTTCCTCACCCACACTTTAAGGTTATGACCTTAACTGAGCTCAGCTACAACCCGTAGATAATAATCTCTATAATAAGCTGCCGACAAAATGATGCAAGCTGTTAACTATAAAAGTTGCCAGAAAAAAATGAATACTGTTTACGAGGAAATAGAAATACAGAGAAAATAGAAATACAGGAAATAGCTGACATGGGGACTGTTTCTAAGCAAAGCTGTTTCTAAGCAAAGTGTTTTCTTAAGGCAGTAGTAGTGACAATTCCTGGAATAATTCAGTTTTTTAGAAAAACATGGGAAAGAAGTGCATGTTAAAAGAGTCCTGAAAGAGATGATTACTAGGTAGTATCATCTATTCAACCAATTTTCCACAGTGTCCATGAAACTTAGTAAGTTGGCTATCCATAACACCCTTCCTGGGGAAGAGGGAGGAGAGTTTTATTGTGCATCATGCCAAGATTAAAGGGTGTGGCAAAATGTGACTCCTGTCTTGGCAGGCCATGGCAGAGGGTGAATACAGACAACCATTACCCAACTGGCAACTTTCCATCAGGTATGCATCTGTCAATTTCTGCCAAGTGTTGAGAAAATGCTGATCGTGGTAAAATTTATTATGGCTCTGCTTCCCCAGATTTATGATTGGGAACAGATATCTAATAAAATTATCCTGAACCCTTTGTGCATGTAAGCACTTGAGAAACTAGGAATATGAACATCTTGAACCTTTAACAGTTTAAATCCTCTTAGGTCACAACTACTACTCACTACCTGGGTTTTATTCCAAATGGCCTTTCTTTGCTTTTCCCTTTCCTTTCCTCTCCTCCCAAATATGCCTTTTCATTACTTTTAAATGATTGTAAGCATTTGAGTGTAACCTGTTTTCATTTTTCGTTTCTGTACAGTGCCTAATAATTCCAGTCACTTTCTAAATGCAAGCATGCGTGCTGCTGCCAAGAAATAGGGAGAGTTTCACTACACATCTTACTACAGAGAGGGCTGGTGCCCGGCTTGAATGAACTCTTGGCATAGTTCCACCAATGCCACGAAACCATAAGGCAGCAGGCAGGTCTCCCCTTTGCTTCAAGACCTGAGCTCCAGCTCCATTGTTGTCAAGCTAAAAGAAGGGTTAAATCTGGTCTACGCGTCATTGGAAGCAATTGCAGCTAGCCCGTGTAATAAACCTGTCTCTTCTGGTGATTAAATGTGTGGTGCAGTCCTCTTTATTACATACTTCAAAGCATTCAAGGATGCAATTATACTGGGACAGCGTGGCACTCGGATTTTTAAAGGAAAGAAATGGCATCGTATTTCAACAAACTTACACTACCCGAAGTCTGATGGTTTGCTTCAGGCCAATGGACACTGATACCCAGAGTTCCCCTGCATAAAAGGGCTCCATTAATTTAATTAGACAAAGCAGATCAGCATGCAAGTTGCATGCACATAGAACCCATGCACTTTCCATTGAAGCAAATAGGGCAGACCATGCAACCCTAGAGTGGCCTGGTGCAGACAGGACACTAAATCAGAGATAGGGCACCTATGGCCCTCTAGATGTTGCTGGACTCCAACGGCTGTCAGCCCCAGCTAGCAGGGCCAATGATCAGGGAAGATGGGAGCTGTAGTCCCAACAACATGTGGAAGGCCACACATTCCCCACCCCTGCTCAAAACTAAAGCTGAGTGTTGCAAGCATGAGCCTGCGCTCCTTCGATGCTGCCATGAGAAGATCAGATATATCTGGTTTTGTTTCCAGAGTTTGTCATTTTATCTGAACTGGGACCCGGGGTTAGTTTTAAATAATTTATCAAAACAAGCCAGGTTCAAAACCAAGAGCTTGAAACTGGCTCATTTGGACAAGCTATAGTTAAAACTAACCACAACGGTCCCAGTTCAGATGAAACAATAAACAGTGGTTTGTTGGAAACAGAAGCAGGTCCTTTCAATATCTTCCTAGCAATTGTGCCGAGATGAGGGGTGGAGGGGGAAGCACATGAGTCTGAGGCTCATTCAAACAATTTTAAATTGTGTTTTTAGTCTTACATCCAAATACAGTCTGTGGAGTGACTGTAGCTATTCATTTATTTTTGGTTTTACTAATTAATGGGTTAACTTTTTGCAGACCAGCACTTCCAAAACATATAATTGTGATGAGGATGAGAGTGGAGCTAATTATTCTGATTTCAGCCTAATGTATGGGTCTCTTCACCTAACCAATGAAAGACCAGAGGCAAAAAATAAAAATAAAAATTAGATCCTACGATCTTGCACACATGCAATTATAAAACACACAACATTGGGGAAGATTATTCTCAAACATTCTCTGCAATTCTTTGAATAGAATTTCTGGGTTTATTGGGTAGGGAGGGCAGAAATGGATAGTATTGTGTACAGTTGAGGCAGGTCACTGGTTCACACAAAAAACAAGGACATCTTTAAGCAGTGGAGGCAGTGGGTGTTGCACATTCAGCTTTGGGTATCATTTCCCCTATGTGGGTCTTCTGGTTCAAAAAAGCAGACCTATGGCCATCTTCTGCTAGAGGGCTATAAATGAACAGGGCTGGTTTGTACAAGTTCTAAAATTCTCCATTGTCAGGTCACCTACTGGCATGAAAAACTACCATTAGTCTATAGCAGCGCAAAACCAAAGGTTTTGAGGCATTCAGAGATAAATCATATTCAACACTCATAGCCAACCTTTGATTATTTGTGTGGCAATGCTGAACAGGAAGGTGTGTGCTTCCGAATCTCTTGATGGTCACGCAGCTGTTAAAAGAACAGGATTCCTGCCAAGAAAAAAAAATGGCAATATTAAGAATAAACCAGACCCTCCAAGTGTCCCTATTTTTTTCTTCTTTTTTTTGTCTTTAAGAAATTCGGTTTATTCACACATATTTACACCAGAGTTTTATGGAGGGAGAGTTCACAGCATTTACATCTCCAGAGGGTCTTGTCCTCTGCAGCAGTGCAGCATTGGATTCTATGGCATCCTATTTTTTTTTTAATAAGATATTTTTTTATAAGATATTTATTAAGGTTTTCAAAATATTACAGTATAGAAAAAGGAAAAAGAAAAATGCAAAATAAAAATAGTTAAAAACACTTCATTCTTTCCATTACTTATCCTTCATTTGCTTATTTCCCGGACCTCCTCACGCCTCCCTTTTTGTATTCCAGTTCAGTTTGTTAGTTCAGCAAATCCCTCCCCTCTTTGTATATCCTAGTCGTTAATCGTAAAGTATTATAATTTTAAATTTTTACCTATTAATAATCCATTTTTTCATATTCCCTTATAACATTTCAGCTCAAGTGTCCCTATTTTTCAAGGACATCCCTGGTTTAGAGAAGCCATCCTGGTTTCTGATTTGATCCCAGAATGTCCCACTTTTCCTTAGGACGTCCCTATTTTCATTGGAGAAATGTTGGAGGGTATGGAGTTATCTGACCCCCGAGCCATTTGAACGCAATCCTGTATAGGGAAGTTTTAAAAAAATGTTTAATATTTTATTATGTTTTTATATATGTTGGAAGCTGCCCAGAGTGGCTGGAGCAACCTGGTAAGATGTGTGGAGTATAAACAGTAAAATTATCATTATGGAATGGGACATCCCTATTTTCATTGGAGAAATGTTGGACATTTTTTTTTATTGCTGACCTTCACCTGATTCTGGCTCCTGACAATATTATCTCATTTGCTCCCTGGAAGGAGGTAACCCCTTTTTAAAAATTTTGTAAAAAAAATAATCTTTTTTTCCAATTGCTTACTTTGCCAAGTGACCTACCTCAACCAACTTAAGTCAAGATTGGGGCCTTTGTGAGCCTTTTGTTAACCAGAAGATTACGCATTCTCCTGTGTACTAATATCCCCCCCCCCACAAGCCCAGTGCTTTTTCCTAGTTTGTTTTATCTCTGATTTTTAAACTGAGTATAAGGAGATGGGAAAGGGTTTGTTTTCCTTTTCTGGTTGGTACTTTAATTATAGATAAGTACAGTGCTTTTTAAAAAATCTGGCTGTATTTTCGAAAACCAGCAATAAACAACAGAGTAGGCCACCTAGAATGAAAAGACACTGAGCTAGCAGGAGGGGGTATATACTGAAATTCCCTCCACTGCTTTCAGAACCTCTGAAATTCAGACTTAGACACTTAGGCCTTGGTTGTTATCTTTTTAAAAGTCATGCGCTTTACGGTTTGTGTTGAATGTGGATGTTTTCCTGTTAACCTATTGAGTTCGTACGTTTCTTCTCGTTGATCTGATGTAGGTGCCCTTTGAAACAAAAGCCAAATTAGTCCCATTTGCCTCTTGCTTTGCAAGCTTCAGCAGGGCGATAAGGAAAAGTCTTTGCATGACGCAGCACTAATCCATGAGTCACAAGAAAAGTTATCTGCAAATACTATGGATAGTGCTGTAGCTCAGTGGTACAGCCTCTGCTTTGCATGCAAAAGGTCTCAACATCTTGAGGTAGGGCTAAGAAAGAATCCCTGCCTGAAACCTGTTATCAGCAGAGTCATTACTGAGCTGCGCACACCTTTCTGTGTTCTGCTGGGAGACCAATATTATTAAAGTGGGACTTACAACAAATGTTTCAATCTGGAGTGCTCTAGTTCAGGGTTCCAGGATATGGCAGGTTTACAAAATATCCAGGTTTACAGGATATAGCAGGGGTTGGGAGCTTTTGGGTGTAAGTGTTAACTTTATACAGTACAGTGGTACCTCAGGTTACAAACACTTCAGGTTACAGACTCCGCTAACCCAGAAGTAGTACCTCGGTTTAAGAACTTTACCTCAGGATGAGAACAGAAATTGTGCGGTGGCGGCAGCGGGAGGCCCCATTAGCTAAAGTGATCCCTCAGATTAAGAACTGTTTCAGGTTAAGAACGGACCTCTGGAATGAATTAAGTTCGTAACCAGAGGTACCACTGTAATCTCGTTTCCACACACACTCACCCGCCTCTCTCTAGCTTCCATCCAGGTGAGCAAGAGGCACGATCAGAGTCAAAGGACACATTCCAGCCAGGCGAAAACACTTGGAGGTGCAAGGAAGGGGGTGGCTTGGAGGGAGGAGTTGTGGCCTGGGGAGAGTTCCAAGGACCAGAGAGGCCTCGATAGTTGCATTTGGTCCCTGGGATATAGAATGAATTCCCATCATACGGTGAGTATCTGTACGGAAATGTAGCCATACAGGTGAGTTGTACCAGAATGTGTGGGTGTAACCCCACAACTTCCCAAGTTGCCAGCTAGCTTTGCTCTAGCTTTGCTCTTCCCCTAATTTACAGGATTTGTATATGAAATGATAATCCCAAATGTGCTTACAGAATTCAGAATAAAATTAAAAATTCAGTAATAAGACAATTTCACTGAAAGAAAACCTACAAGAATGAAGGCAGTCCAAATAAAACCAGATGATGCAGACCATAAATTAGCAACCAGGAATCTGCTACTAAAATGCTGGATAATAGAAAGGTATTGACCTATATGAGAAAAGCACTTATATTAGTCAAACCTGCTGGGGGTGGGCATTCCATAACCAAGAAGCCATTCTTGAAGAGGCCTCTTCCTCTGCCACTAAATGCATTAGAACTTCTCAAAGAAGTTCTAAATTCTGAGCAGTTCTTTAAATTCTGAGCAGGTTCCTATACAGTGGTACCTCGGGTTACAGATGCTTCAGGTTACATACGCTTCAGGTTACAGACTCCGCTAACTCAGAAATAGTACCTCGGGTTAAGAACTTTGCTTCAGGATGAGAACAGAAATTGTGCTCCGGTGGCGCGGTGGCAGCAGGAGGCCCCATTAGCTAAAGTGGTGCCTCAGGTTAAGAACAGTTTCAGGTTAAGAACGGACCTCTGGAATGAATTAAGTACTTAACCCGAGGTACCACTGTAGTTGAAAACACTTTCAAGAGCCCCCTTGGCTCAAGGAACTCTGTTAATCCTTGTTTCCTCCCTCTGGCCATCCACTGGTCCTTTCACCTAATTTGCACTGTTTAGATGCCCCCTGCCTCTTTACCTATTTTCCATTCAGCCCCATCCCCAAAGCCATGATAGCTAGATTCCCACCAAACACAGGGATGTGTGAGTGAGTCCTTTTACAATGAAGAGGACTTGTTTTTGTTTGCTCCAAACCTTGAGACATGTACCAGTCTGTCTGCCTCAACTCACGTTTTCTCACTCACAGTAGCTGGGCTGGTTTGTTGCTTACCACATTCATTCTTGATCCATTGCTTCAAGGTCTGACAGACATAACACTCTTCTTATTGAGGGATTCATTAGTCATTTGGAATGGATATGAGATGAAGGTGAGTTGTAATTGGTTGCTGATTCCACAAAAGCACTAATGGTTTTCTAACCATTAGAAATCAATGGGGTTTAGTTCCTTGAGGGAAAGTGCACTTGAGGGTCTCCCTCTTTCAACAGAACATTGCAGCCGGTTCTTTACAATCCCTCTACAAACAGGCTCACAAAGAGGTAGGAAATTATTATGGAACATGTGTAACAATGGGATAAATTGCCAAGGAAAGGTAGTGTGTTTTTGCAAGCAGGCTAAAGTGTGCAAGGCATGTACAGCCTGTACTTCAAATACCCAGCTTTGGAGCAGCTTTAATTACCTAGCAACTGCTTCAGTGCAGAACACAATGACATTTTCAGAAAAAGGAGATCCTGCTTACATTAGGTTACAGTGTTCCTAATTAATAATCTCATCTTAAAAGGTCTTGCTGAAATATTAATTTCTTTTGCTTCCATCTTAGTGTGGGAATCCAATGGTTATGGTTATTAATTCTTAGGGAGATGTGAGTTTCTAGCAAGGTTGCAACAAGCAGAGGAGATGAAGAACAGAGGACGAGTAGATGAACAAATTGACCACTGGATTCAATTTACAAGAAAAAAGGGGTTTAGACTAAACACTAGGAAGAACTTGGTGATGGTACAGGTTGTTTGACAGTGAACTGCCTCAGAAGGTGGCATACTCTAATCCATGAATGGCAAACTAAAACCCAGGGGCCAGATCCGGCCCAATCGCCTTCTAAATCCGGCCCGTGGACGATCTGGGAATCAGTGTGTTTTTGCATGAGTAGTATGTGTCCTTTTATTTAAAATGCATCTCTGGGTTATTTGTGGGGCATAGGAATTCATTCATTCCCCCCAAAAAAATATAGTTTGGCCTCCCACAAGGTCTGAGGGACAGTGAACCGGCCCCCTGCTGAAAAAGTTTGCTGACCCCTGCTCTAACCCATTAGCGGTTTTTAAGCCACCTGCCAGAGATGCTGTATTTCTCTTGCTACAGTTGTTGTAATTATTACCTGCCCTTCCAGGGCAAGTTACAACAATTTATCATTCAGAATTAAAAACATATTACATTCACAAGAATAGGGTGATCCTGAAAACATACATTTTGACTGTCAATGGCTAGGGTAAAGATGTGTGTCCCCAGCATTTGCCCAAAGCGGTATAATAGAGAATTATGGGATGAGAATTCCACCACTTAGGGGCTGCCACATGGACTGCCCCTGGGCCATAACCACCCCACACTTCTGAAGGAGGTGGAATTACCAAGAGGGTCCTCTGTGCTAATCGTAAAACCTGGGAAGGTCTATAGGGAGGGAGGTAGTCTTTCAGATATTTGGAGCCTAAGTTATTTAGGGCTTTAAACATCAACATGTGCACCATTAACTGGGCCCAGAAATGGCCTGGCAGGCAATGCAGTTGTTTTAGAGCAGGTGTTCTATGAATTGCTATCTTGCATTAGCAAGCAGTTGGACTAGGTACAGTATCACTCAGTTCTGTGTGGTAAAACTCCATGCATGTTTACTCCAAAATGAGCTCCACCCAGAAAATAATACTGAAGAATAATACTGAAGCCTAATTCTGTTTGCAAAATGTCATTAAATGAAGGAAGCTGACCAAAAACATTGAATCTGTGTGGGGTTTTTTTTTTTAATGCTGTAGGTTTCAAGCCTGTCCTTGATTATCACTCCACTTCCCACTTCTCTGTAGAAGATGGTTGCAGCATCCACCTTGCCACAAATGTCTTGCAAAGGAGGCCGGTCTCACAAGTGGTGTTGCTTATTGTCTGCCAACAACTTCCCTTATTTCCTGTTCACTTTGCCCAGGGAGGAATTCCAGAGCTACGAGCCAATTAACTGCATGGGCAATGGAGCATCCAGCTAATACCTTCCTGTCTCTGAGGGACCAGGGCATCTTGCTTTCCTTGTACTTTCCCTAAGGCACCCATTGGTAGTTTGAAACCAATTAGTCCAGCGCATGGAAGGAACGCAGTTCCTTGGCCTTGTCACATATGTACTCTTACCCCAAAACCAAAATAAGGATTGCATTAAGTATGAAATACAAAATGGAAAGTAGGATAGTACTTTCAGATGATAAACAAGCATTAAAGAAATAGCTAGCTGATGAAAGACTGCTGGAGGAGTCTGTTACTCACACATGGAGGGTCACCCAAATTTAGATTCTAACATACAACAGCCTTGGATGGTCAAAGATGAGGAAAAAGAAATATATGCACCATGCACGATATTTATTTTCTTTTCACCTAAGTGACTTTGATTGATAGGTTGCCTGGCACAACTAATGGGCTGAGTTGCACATAGTCAGAAAGTTGCTCTTAACGCCTTTTGGGAGATGGGCCAATTGAAGTATTAACTCAAAAGGATATTGTCCTGACAGGCAGAATATCTCAAAGGAAGGCATAGGCTGTGTACTCAGAAGTGGAAGTAAAAACATGACTATGTACTTAGAAGGAGCAGAGGACTAGAGAATTTGTATGTCTCAAAGAGACACATCTGGCCAGGCTAGAACTATGTCACAGTAACACCTTATTATACAGAAATAAACTTCCTAAGATTAACTGGGACAAGTGTATTGTAATTCCCATCCATTGCAGTAGCCTTCTTCCTTCACTATTTATGATGGGGAACCTGTGTCCCACCAGATGTTGTTGGACTACAACTCTTGCTGCCTAGAACTGACTGGAGTCCAACAACTTATATAAGGACACAGATTCATGAGTTAGAGCCTTTTCACTATATTTTCCTATCTGCTTTCTTCCATACATTATTGACAGTGCTATTATTTATTAGAATTTTCCTCCACTTTCCAACAATGCTCTCAAAACACCATTCTCACTTTCATTTGCTGTGATATGTATGTGGACATTGGGATGGCTACAGGGAAGGGATGAAATAGTTCTGATCTCACACAGTTCTGACTACTTTCACATATCCATCTTGCATACCCTCCAACATTTTCCTGAAAAAAATAGGGACGTCCTATTCCATAATGATAATTTTACTATTTATACCCAACACATTTTATTGGGCTGCCCCAGCACTCTGGGCAGCTTCCATCATATATAAAAAACATAATAAAACATTAAATATATTTTTAAAAAACCTTCCCTATTATACAGGATTGCCTTCAGACAGCTTGGGAGTTGGATAACTCCATACCCTCCAATGTTTCTCCAATGCAAATAGAGACATCCTAAGGAAAAGCAGGACATTCTGAGATCAAATCAGTAACTGGGACGGCTTCTCTAAATCAGGGACATCCCTGGAAAATAGGGACATCTGCTGTTTCATTTCTTCTCTGTGCCTCAATTGAGTTACTGAAATTTGGATGTGTGCAGTTATACTAATTCTAAACTCACAATTCTGAGAGGAGGAATTGTGGGATGTGCAAAGATTAGACCCAGGATAATGAGAAGACAAACTGGCGTAAAATTAAACAAGAAGCAACAAGAGTTCTCTTGCATATACAGTGTGTTGTTGCTGCTTGTCTAGCCTTCCATGGTAAACAGCTGGCCCTGGGATGCAGGCCCTGTGTAGGCAGAATGCATCTGAATGCCCAGATTGACATAACAGCTAGGATAAGTGCTGCCCAGAAACTCAGCACAGACACATTACAGTCTGTTCTCAGTCTGTTCTCAATTCTGCGTTATCAGTTGTTGCAAGCAGGGAAGAGAAGGCAGTTGGTTGGTCTGATAACACACTTAACTTCATGCAGCCTTCACTGTAGGTCTTACCCTATGAAACACCACCCAGTTGCTCTCTGCCTGTGGGAAAGTTAATGTTTTTCTGAGCAGTTTGTTACAATATGTAACAAAATCCATTGTTAGCGGTCCTATCTGGTTGATAGGCATGCAAACATAAAAATCAGAATGATAGTTTTTGAAAACATGGAGCTCAATGTTGGAGGTATATCTTCCTCTTCCCCATTTGAAACTGCTCTTGCGCTATTAATAGAAAGTTCATTCCGTATTAGTAAGGTCACTTTGCTGTTTACGTTGAATATAGCCAACCCAGGTCAACCATGTTGCTTTCTGGTTGACCCCGTGTGACTCTAGAGCAACTAAGGGCAAATTTAATGTTCTAAGAATATGTTGTGGGACCCATCTGGGAAGGTTCCTGAGTGGTCAGGAAGATAAAGTCAGCTTCATTGAGTGACCCCAGCTTCTTCTTCTCTCAGAATACTAGGACCAGGGTTCATCCAAGGACGAGAGATTCAGGGCAGACGGGAAAAGTACTTCT